GGCATACCCATAAAGTTTGGTATTGCACTTGACATCATCATGGACGGAGATGATGAAAGAGTGTGACATGGTGATCCTGTTTGTTGTTGAGATTGTTGTTGTTGATGATGATGATCTCGAAGAGGAACATGACCTAATGATGCTGTTGATGATGAACACCAACCATTGCTAGCTGCTAACTAAAATAATAATTATTTTAAAAAATAGTTGAAAAAAATTTTTTTTTGTTTTTGAAAAAGAAAAGAAAAATCAATAAATATACCGATGGATATTGACTACTTGCAGCTGAAATCAATGATATATCATAGGGATTTGTTGTAGGTACCGTTAATGAACGTATTTGAGGTGCATTTGTATATCGTTCGCGTTTACGCCATTTAGCACGTCGATTTTGAAACCAAACCTATACAAATAATTGTTAATCATTTTATTTTTCTTATCATATTCTTATAATATAATTTTTTTTGTTTTTTAATTTATTGCAAGCATAAGATAATCAATATTGATTCTTTTTAATTTAATAAAAGAATTTATAGACCAACAAAATACAATTTTTAAAAATCATTCATAAGTTTTAAATTATCAAATAAATCTATGAAAGACAATCAAATATTACTAGAATTTCTTTGATGAAACAAAAACAAAATATATTCAATGTAGAATTCTTCTAATTTATCTATTGTTCTTTGATTGGTCCTTTATCAGTATCTATCAACAGACTCATTATCCGATCTACGAACACATATTATTATTTTAGATTTGATCTAATAATTTTTCTTTTTCTGCTTTAATAAATTTATCTTTGTCTATAATTTTTAATAGACCTTTGACATTCACATTCAGTCATTTTATTATCCTGAGATACTGACTGGGAATAAGAAGAAAATAAAAGAAAGAAATTTCTTTTGTTTTTTCCTTTTTCTGATTGGTTATAATATGTAGAAAGAAGAAAGAAAAGTTTGTATGAATACCAGATGTGTTTGTTAAAGACATTATTTCATATGGACATACCTGTACTCGTGCTTCCGTCAAATCACATCGTAGAGCAAGTTGTTCTCGTACATAAACATCTGGATAATGAGTCTTTTGAAAGACACGTTCCATTTCTTCAAGTTGAAATGATGTAAATGTTGTACGATTTCGTCGTTTTTTTCGTTTTGTATCATTTCCATTTGAATCATTTGTTGTATCACCTTCATCAGATGATGAACCACTGTTTGTATTATTATGTTGAACACATAATTTTTTACTTGAATCCATACATGGTGATTCTATAGGCAAAAAAAAAAAGATAATTGTTTTGTTTTTTTTTGACTAGTCTTATCTTTGAAAGCTCTCGATTTCGAACGTAATATATTTCCCGAAGGAATGAACGGAAATGAAATCAGTAGTAATGATCACGTTCGATCTGTCTGCTTATCTCTTATTCTCTTGCAATAGGCGTGGAGGCACGCACATACGCTTGATATACCTGCTGAGCAATAACAACTCAATCATCTTCGAAGAAGCCACATCAACTAACAAAAAAGAAAAGAAGAAATCAATCTTCTCTGTGATATGTATGTATACATCGTAAAACGTTCGCAATGTGATATGTAGTTAATGATATAAGTCATTTTAAATGATGGTCATCAATATAAGCTTTCTTTATTTTTTTATTAATAAGATAAAAAAAAAACGAATTTACCTGAATGAGGATGATGTATCATAGTAAATTGATGGCTGTGAATTGGGACTAATTGTCAATTGAAGGCAAGGTGTTAATTCAATATATTTGAACCCTTTTTTCCTCTAACCGAATTTTCGACCGACTATATAATCTGTATGCGCACGGCTCTAATTTTATTAATCAGTTATCTGCAGAACCGAATGTAAGCCACCGTCGTAGTTGAGAGAGAAAGAGAGAGGAAAAGAGAGTCAATACCATTCGAATAAAGGAGTAGAATGTACTGTGTCGTTGTCGGCAAAGAAGAAGATTAATGGCAGTACTCTTATTCTCGCTTTTTCTTCTTCTCCCTCTCTCTCTTTCCCTCTTTCTCGCTCGTCGATTTTCTTTCCCCTTCGGCTGGTTGCCAGATAGATACATGGTCGAAGTGCGTAAATTTGCCGATTGGTCCATATGTATAAGAAAGATACTCTATCCATATATGTTCTTCTCGTTTGATCCCGTATGTGAACAAAACTCTTATAATTTTCTTTTTTCTTTTATTTTTATGTGAGAAAATAAAGTGAGTATAAACAACAGATGACAAAAATAAAATTAAAAAAAAAAAAAAAAAAAAAAACTCTATCTTGCGTTACGCATCTTGACAATCTATTTCTAAAAAAAGAAACAACGAAGAAATGTTTCTTACTCGCTTTTTAGTAGATTTTGCACGAGCAAAGGGCAATTAGGATGATTGTCGTTGATAACTTGTGCGCACGCACGTATGTCAACGGCTCGTTTATTATACAAAAGAGAAGAAGAAGCCTTCTATCCTATCTCGTCCTTCCATAAAGGCAGGCATCTAGATGATTTGTCTTCATCGATCAACACAAATAGTTAAATGAACTAAAATCTAGTCAATCGAAGTCTCCACCCATTTTTCTTCAATTGATTGGCTAATGGAAGAAAAATAATTTATTATTATCTTTTCTTGACTTTTGAGTAAATCGAAATCTGAAGAAAGAACAAAATAGATTGTTATGTTTTCAAACAATTCCCAAATGAATTTACGAAAAAAAATCCTTTTACTTTTGACGCGGCAAAGATCACTTAGTTAGAAAAAATAACAAACTCTTCTTCTTCGTTGTCTTCTGTTCTTGTTTCTCAAAACAACAAGCAAACAAAAACTTGATGCTGCATAAAATTAAGAAATGCCAAGATGATATCTCTTATCTATATCGTTCGTCATTTGCATAGTTTGTTCAATGATGAACATATTCCTGTTATTGTTGTTGTTGTTGATGTTGTTCTTGTCTGTTCAATATAAATCTGCTAGATGAATTGTTACAATTATATAGATTTTTTTTTATTCTCTTTTTTGATAAAAGAAACAAAAAAAATTAAAATTAATCTAATAGATTTCTATCACTTATTCGAAAGCATAATAAAAACAAAAATGAGAGTCTTGACTAATATCATCCGTTAGAATATGTAGAAATATGGTGAGCTTTCAGTTTTCTCTTTTGACCAGTAAAACAAACAAATGAGATGATTAGTTCTTATAAGAAAGTATCAATTACATATCACAAATGAAGAGAAAGAAAGAAAAGGTTTTTGAAAGAAATAACATTTATATATACAAATCGATGATTATTAAATTACTAGTAGAAAAGAAAGTCTCTTTTTTTTGTATATATAAAGTTGTTAGGAAAATAAACTTGTCCGATGGAAAAGAGCATGTCTATGTCGATTAGCACTTTAGCAAAGTTCACATCTTGTCTATCAGAAAAAATTACTTTCATTTTCTTCCTACACATATGGAAAGATTATTGAAAATATTCATGTCATGTATATTTCTTAAGATTCCAAATAATGATCAAACATTAACTATTCTTTAGATTATATTTCTATGTTTTACTTCAAGAAAAATTTAGTCTAATAAATATAATTATCTTTAATAAATCTAGCCATTATAAAACGAGTTAGTTCATGATAACTTCTAGATTTGTCAAGCATAAATAGAGGAAAATGTATCTCAGAGAAGTTACATATTGTATTACAGTTCTTGTATTAGAAATAAGCTAATTCTATTTATTGTAAAAAGAAAAAATATCAAAATGTATGAAAAAGATAAATTATCAAATAAGCAATATTAAATTAAAGATTGTCTCTAATGATCGATTAGCTGAATGATAAAACAAAAATAAATTTGGATGTTATTATAAGTTAAAAAATTCCTATTAAATTTCAATCGACAAAGTATCATTTGTATATTTAGTATACATTAGATATACTTATCTAAATAGATTAATTCAAAAAAATCATTTTCAAGGATGTTTATGGTCAATCTTTGTTGATCTCAATAAATTCTTTGATCAACGAAGTCCTATTCATAATAATTTGGATCATATTCACTTAAGTATATCATTGCCATGAATTTTTTGTTTCAACAAAAATGTCCAAATATCATCAATTGATCAATTGATTTCTATTAATAAATAAAGAGTATCAAGTTAAGCTAACATGGTAACAAGTTACAATGGACAAAAATTTAAAACATGATATTATTGATATCGAATAAAATCAAATATATGTTTTATATATGGATTTTAAATGTATTGAAACTATTGGCTTTAAGTCACAGTTGTTATCAACAAGGAAATGTTCATAGTTCATATTCATAAAAAAAAATATTGATGTTGAAGTATTATTATTCACATTTATAAGAATCTGTGCCCTGCTAAGTTTCAGAAAATGACATAGAGTGAAAAGACGTTTATTCATAGAGATAATCAGGATTTTTCATGGTTGTTTTATTTTTTATAAATATTGAGCGAGCGTGTATCCTAATTTCTATTGATAGTAAAGTGTACTATATAAGAATCAACATGTTCAGTTATGTTTGAGGGAAATAAATGAATAATTGATCAACATGAATATTTAAAATTTTCAAAATTTCATCGATTATTATTTCTTTATTGAATTCAATAATAATATTTCAATACAATTTTGTCAATGTTATTCTTATGACGATACAATTGACTAAAATGGTTGTATAGATATTCAACTTTCTTTCCAATAAAACAATTTTTAATTATTCCTCTATATATAAATGGCAGATCAACAAGAATTAGAGATAATCATCAATAGATATTAATTTACATTTAACAAGATAATTATTTTCTAGAAACTAATCTTGTTATAAATTGTATAGATTCTATCCAATTAATTTATCTATTGATTCATCATCTTAAATCAAAACAAAAGAATTTTATTTGATGATTCCAAACACTCTAAATAGATAAACTTTATCAAACAAGATATTCTAGATATAGATTTGTTGTTGGCAAAAAAAAACAAATATTATTTTATTCAATTAGACTAATTAAATCTATTGATTAGTAAAATTTATCAAAACGACATTTTCATTTGTTTTGCGTATTCTTCTTTTCTTTGAATATGTTCTCTTGACAGATATTTTTAAGTGCATAAAATTTGACAAAATCGAACGTTTTACTAGATGTCGCTTATAATAAATACAGTTGAATTTCATAATAGATTTTAAAATCAATCCTGTTTAAATATCTCTCATAGAAAAACATGATTGTTTGACATTTTCATTTATTTAACCTATACAAATTCTTTCACGTTTTTTTTTTAAATAGTTTAACATCAACTTCTACAGTAAAACATATCATGCAAAAAGAAACATCTGCTAAACAAACTAGACTTGATTAGTTAATAGAACAAAACTATCATATGTTCAAAATGAATAAGTTCAAAAATCTTTCATTCTGTATCATATTTATATCTTTCAAGTTTAAAATTATTATCCAGGGTAAAATTACATCATTGGCTACATATCAATGTCGTTTTTCTTTCTCTCTCTCTCTCTCGTTAAATATACACACATATGTACATCTATTTTGTTCGAGGTATTACATTCTATGACTTTTTTTTTTTTCGCTATTTCGTCTCGAATATTCGTCTACTAAAGCGAGAAAAAAGAAAAATCTTCATCTATGTATTCATTCTTCAAAGTAGATCATAAGATATAACAATTTATCGCATGACTAAAAGTAAAGAATAATAGAAATAGATGTCTTTGTTTTATGTTGATCCCTGGCGAAAATATATGAATTCACTTTGTATTTTAGAAAGAAAAGAAAGAGAGTGTGTGTGTGTATTTTTGTAATCACAATATTCTTTATCTTTGATATTATATTCGTACATTTAATCACAATCAAATAAACAATTTAAATCAAATAAAAAATAAAACAATATAAAAAATAAAAAATAATGGAATCAATTCTCGGTCGTGGTTATTCAATAAATGAAGAATCAGATTTAATTAATCAATATTCACCATTATCAAGTACTATTGATGAAGATATAGAACAAGATGATGATTTGTTCTATACTGAAGAAGATAATGTTGAAGAAGAAGAAGATAATTCATCGACTGTTCCAACTAGTAATGGAACACTATCTTCGTCATCGATCGATGAAATTAGTGGTATGGGTTTAAGTAAGTGTAAATAAGAAAATTTTATTTATGAAAAACAAAAAACGAAATTTTCTTTTTTTCTATTAAAAAAAAAATTAAAGGTGTTTTTAAACCACCACCATTTAAAATGATGCCTATGGAAGCAACACCACCACCAACACCACTAATTCCACGTCGACTATTCGACTCTATAAATAGTACAACAAATGCTTTTCAAACAATGACAATTAGTCCTAATTTACCATTAACACCACCAAGAAGTGCTGATGTTAATAATACAAATTGGCCATTAGTAACTTCAACTAATGAAATTCGAAACACTAATTTATTATTTCCACGTATTAATGATACTACACCGAAGACAATGACAACTACCAATTTATTAACACCAACAAGTATTGATCGATATCTTAGTGGTCATCGTCGTTTATCCGATTCAACATTTACATCATCAACAAGTTAGTTATTTTTAATATTATTTCTTAATTTATTTTTTCTTACATAGCACTTGATCTTCCACTTAATATTTCATCTCTTAACACTACAACAAATAGACA